CGTTTTCCTTGTGACATTAATATTTGTTAATAGGTATTCCTTACGTGTTTTTTAAGGAGAATTCGTTAATTTGTCCGTATTCCACACTACCATTCGTCTGGAATACACATAATTTCTTATTGAATAACTATTTTTATTATTCAGTGTACTCCTGACTATAATCTGTAAACACGTTTCTGTGACCACTCCGCTTATTGTTACGATCATTTGTCACGAAATAATTGTTCGGAAGTATAATAATTATTGCTTTTTATTATTAGTTCAGTTGTTAATTAGTTTAATTGTTTATTAGTAGCTCTTATTCATATTTGAGCAGCACCGGCGTTAAAACGTTAAGCTTCTGTAGTTTTTCTTCATAAGTTTTACAAAACAATTTTAAGAGATCTGACAACATAATATCTTTCTTATTTTTAAAACAAAATTAGTTATAATAGTAGTTACATCAATTGGTACGAATTAATTACAATTTTTTTTCAAAAATCAGTTATTTATTTATAATTAAAAAAGTATCAATCATAAGTAAAAATTGTTTACAATGTTTTTATTTTGTAAATCAAAAAGTCGATTTTTTGTCTTTAAAACAATAAAAGTATTTAATAATATAGGTTTATATAATATTTTTTTCTGTTTTGACAATCTACAAATGTATAAATGTTTTCACATTAATTTAGGCGGGTATTGAAATCGGCTATGATCTAGGCTATATAGCATGTTTGTTGCCGCTATCAGCGTTAGTAATGATGATCAAGTATGCCTTAACGGCTGTAGGTTAGTATTTGTAGTTAAATAAAAAAAAACCACTACTTTTTCGTTGCACAGATTAAATAATTTAATATTTTTCAAATTTTTCAACTAAATGTAATAATATTTCAATGACACCTTATACAGGTAGTATAACACCTGAAGCTGTACCTCTAAACATAATAGAGGTGCTAGACTTTGACGCATCCTTTAAGCACTCTACATGTTTAGTGCCTTGACGCACAACTACTTTTTTTTTCCTGGATCGTCTGTCATACTTGTTTCATCATAACTCATGATGAGCTCTGGATCAGCACCTTCAATAGTTATAGCTAGTTCTTCTTCTTCAAAAAAAAACGTATGGTACCACAATTTACTCAAACCCGAGCTTGCTTTATATTTTCACATAGTAAGAGTATACCAACGCCTGGTAAATTATTTTCAAAGTAAATTATTTTTAAGTACGAGCACCAATTTTTTTCCAAAATCTACACATCTGTAAAATATAAAAAAAAAAATTGTTTACTAACTTAGAATTCGCATGGAATGCTATGAGACAGAAAATAGTTTATTATAATGAGATTTTCCTTGTATATTACTGTGTAGTTTTTACAAGTTTAATTTGGACCATAATTTTAAGACAGTGGTCCAAGTTGGACTAAAAATTTAAAACGCTGTTTCCAGTTATGTAAACTTTGTAATTACATTTTTTTTTTTTTTTGACGTATAGTAATTTTTAGATCCATATAAAAGTATTTCCTATCGTCCATTTTTGTGTTACGCGTCTCTTTATAAGATCATTATATCCCTACCTACTAATTATTAGACAGCTTTAGTTGTAGATAAAATACCTCATTGGACAAGACAGTGTATTACTTAATAAAATAAATCCCAAAAATACTACATAAACACATGTAGGTATCAATCATATAATATAAAACAAATTATTATAGTAAAACAATTTCGTTTTACTATAATAATTAAAATACACAAAATATATATAATTGGCCGTTCTAAAACCTTTATGGGGTTTTAACTTGCTAAATCCATAAATTCACCACAATTGCGTTTAATAAACCCAAGATTTCGATAGGTTTTAGCACACATTGAGTTAATACGTGTGTTAAAAGATAAGTCGGTAGACAAAATGACACCCAAGTCCTTAACATTACATAGTATCTCGAGATGTATAAGCCATTTATCTCACTTCCCACTAAGAACCTGTTAACAAAACCCGAATCATTTATGGATCTAACTGATCTAACTTCTCTCTCTGGACAGTTTTACAATTTTTTTTTTCAGCGGGATTACATCCCCTTTATTCTTTATCCTGCGAGATAAGGGTTTTCTATACTTGGGTTTCTACTTCCTTGATGTATTATTATTATTCATTATTATTATATGAAATATAAATTATATAAAATATAAATTGTGTGACTATAAGACGACCTGACGTCTGACGATGGACAATTCTATGCGAATACTCAAATACCTAAAATGGAAGCGTTTATTTGAAAATGATTTTATTACATCTAATTGTAATAGTTCCTGTAACCTCCCCATCCCCACTATGCTCTGTCCCCACTATAACCTAGCCCCACTGTACTGGCTTTAATTTTTAAATTTTAAGGGTAAAGAGAGGGGTTTTTTCAACTTTTACTCCCACCACCTCCCGAGTACCAACTAGATAAAGTTTGTGGTTTATAAAATTGCTATTCGTAGGAATTGGGCCAGTATTAAAATAAATTCAGTGTATACAAACACAAAAAAAGCTTACATTGTTGTAAAACCAATAGCATCGCTGCTCCGCATCGAAGCTGTGTTTAATGATAAACAACATACAATAATAACAGGTTTATGCAAAACATCGTACAACAAAAGCAAACACAGTAAATCGCTTATAGAACGTCCCATTATGTGTAGAAAAAGATTGTACACTATTGTAATAAAACTACATATTAAAATTGGTGCTCCATCTCTATTGACGAGGTTTTATTTAATACTGTTTTTTGAAACGTTCAACATTTGATATTGTATTAAACGATATGATGAATTATTTTTTAGCAATTATAATTCTATGCTCAACTCCAGGTAAATATTATTTTATTTATTTATAAATAATTTCTTGCTTTATAATTTAATTACAGCAACCTACGTATAAGCCACAGGTTATATATATAATTATTGAACTTATCGCTAACTAAGGTATTTTTTTGAATGTTCAATAGTAATAATAACATTTAAATTGGAATGTTTTTTTTATCAACGCAAAATTGTCCATACAAATTATTGATTGTACCAGATCAAAAACATATTCATTAATAATTTAGTTATTTCTTTTTGGAAACCTTTTAAATAATATAATTTTACACTAGTTTTTTTGGTAAGTTTCAGAATTTTATCGATAAAACTCTATGGGCTATTTTCGTTAAGCTTTAATAATATAATAACTAATCTATAGAGTACGATCTATAACAAAAAAAAAACTATTTGTTCAATCAAATCATAGGTATGATCAAGAAGAATGACGTCAGATGCAAATCTGTGTTTATTTTTTAACACTATACAACAATAACATATTTATGTAGCTATACAAAAAACTGTTCACCATATGTGAAATAAATTAAGCTTTTATAATACTACATCCTATGAGGTATTAAAAAATTGGCTGCAATATTAAAATAAAAATACATACTCGAATCGGCTCCCCATATCTTTAGACTTGTTTATTTATTTTTTTAGCCTTTAACTTGTACTTGAAGTACATAATATTATTTACATAAATGTATTTTGAAGTTCACATGTGAAAGAATCGTTTTTGTTCTTCTTTATCACGCCACTTATTATAGTTGAAACCATGTAATGCATAAAATGTTGAATTTAGCAATTGCTTACTTTCCTAGAAAGTTCAACCTATTTTGTTGGATTTGTATCTGTGTAATTAAGAAACTTAGAAATTTAAACTTCGATAAAATGTTATTTATCTTATATTTGAACACACACACTTTGAAGAGGGTAATACTTAGTTATCGGTGCACGAAAACAATACAAAGTTGGTGTAACAGAAATTAATTTGAATTGAATTATTTTATACTAAACGCTAGCGCCGTTAACAGTTTTAACAATTATAAAACCATTCTATTACTGTCGAAAAAACTATAATAATGATATTATTTAAAATATAAAAAATAACAAAAAATTGAAAAATAAGAATTCTGGAGGGTGGATGCAACCAAAATTAATAAATCATACAAATTAATCTAAAAAGTCCACTGTTTTGATCTATTCTAGGTCATTCTGGTAAATCTGGTTATGGGTCGCCATCTACGCCTCCCTTAGATCACAGTGATGAGCTTATCGACCACACTGATGTCTTGGTTGAATTCATAAGAAACCTCCATTTAAGCGACTTGTATGTGGTATTGAATTTTTACTTATTTACTTTATTATTTTCACAATTTATCAAGCTAATCTTGTATACAGTTATTTAATTCCATAGCCCGAAATGTTTTCTACTCTGTTAGCAATATAAAGTGTTATACTTAAAATAATATAGTAAAAGTAAGCCGTTATTGTGTGTCTCGTTTTGCCAATTTTGGTGTAATAATACTAATTTAATTTAAAGTAGGTAGTATACGGAATGCCAAAATATGATATGAAATATAATTTTATTGCGGTCTAAATGCTAATAAAGAAGCTATTATTTTAAAAAATGTTGACTGATTTGTCAATAAAAATAAGTTTACCTTCTTCTCCCATTCTATTTTTTATAATCATCTAACTCAAAATGATTCAATGCTCTTATTTTCCTTTTTTAACTAGGGACTAAGATAAGGTTAAAACTTAAACATTAATTGTAAGAATAATTTGTTACATTATGTATAATTTATTGTTACATTTTATATTAGTAGTCCTATGTGTAATGTTAAATAATTTGAATGTATATTTTAGATGTTCAGATGTTGTTTTAGTTGTGGGAGAAGAACGATTGCCCGCCCATCGTATTATACTAGCCTCACACAGCGAATATTTTATGTAGGTATTTAACTTTTTTTATAAAATAACTAATAATATTCTTAATAATATTGTCATTTCAAATTTATCTATTTTACCAATTCTTAACGAGAACTTTTCATAAGTTTTGGATATATGATCTCTTTTTTGAAGTCCGTTTGATTAGACTTTAACAGACTGTGCTTTACAAAATGATTAACATATAATATTATGTTATTTGTAATTATATTGTGTAATATTTTCAGGAGGGTTTTTTTTGAAGATGATAAAAAATCCCATAAATCTGAGGTCAATCTTAGTGATGCACCAGTAACATCATTTGAAATGCTTCTTAAATATATTTATACTGGTCGAATAAATTTAGGTGATCTAAAGGTAAAGAATAATCGACGTAGCTTATTAAACGGCATAAATATAATTTTTATTAAGTTTGTGTAATTGTTTAGATGGTAGTATGTGTTAGATCTGTTAAATTATATATTTGTTGAGAACATTTTAAGGGAGAAAGATTAATCACTTTTTTTATTTTTTTATTTTAGAGTGAGGAAGTTTTCGAATTTCTTAGGATTTCGGATTATTTTGGCATTTCAAACTTAAAACTTCCACTGCACGAGTATTTAAAAAGTACGAAAAAAATACAAAGTTGGTGTAACTAAAATTAAGGTTATTAAAGGGACACAATTTATTTCTATTTTAAAAACCAAATAAATAGTTGGCCTTACTAAACATTTAGTTGGACGAACTTAATATAGTTCCTTAAACTAAAAATTTAATTGGCTCAACTATTTACTTAGTTTTTTCAACTAAAAATGTAGTCTGTCCCTTTACTATTCACCAAAATTTCAGGTGAGACAACTATGTGTATTATTCTGTGTGACTTATCTTTAAGAATATTTCCTTAGGGATAGAAAATTGGATATTGAACACTATTTGTTTCTATATTATTTTATTAAATCATAAATAATTTAAAATTTCTTAGAATATGCAGATGGACATTTTTTTAAATATTATGTACGTCACAATTTAAGTTTTAAAAGTTAGTAGAGCTATAAATTTACTAGATAAACAATTGAATATATTTTAATACCTATTTTTAGTTATTGTTACTTAATGTGTTTCAAAAATTAAATCAACAATCCCTACCAATTCAAGTATAGGTACATATAAAAAAAAAAAAAATGTCAAAAGCCCTTTAATAAAGGATTAATTTAAATTGAATTATTTTATACTAAATGCTAGCGCCGTTAACAACTTTAACAATTATAAAACCATTATATATGAAAAAACTATAATAACTAAATTGTTTAAATTAAAAAAAATAAACAAAAAGTTAAAAAATAACAATTCTGGCGGGTGGATGCAACTTAAATTAGTAAATTATACAAATTAATCTAAAAAGTCTTCTGTTTTGATCTGTTCTATCTACGCTTTCCTCAGATCACCGTAACGAGCATATCGACCACACTGATGTCTTGGTTGAATTCATAAGAAACCTCCATCTAAGCGACATGTATGTGGTATTGAATTTTTACCTATTTACTTTATTATTTTCACAATTTATCAAGCTAATCTTGTATACAGTTTTTTAATTCCATAGCCCGAAATGTTTTCTGCTCTGTTAGCAATATAAAGTGTTATACTTAAAATAATATAGTAAAAGTAAGCCATAATTGTGTGTCCCGTTTTGCCAATTTTGGTGTAATAATTCTAATTTGATTGAAAGTAGGTTAGGTTGTATACGGAATGCTAAACTATGATATGCCTGTATCATTGTGAACTTAAAATATTATTTATATTTTTTTGTACTAATTTGTCAATAAAAATAGGTTTACCTTCTTCCCCCTTTCTATTTTATATAATCTTCCTACCCAAAATTATTCAATGCTCTTATTTTCCATTTTAAACTAGGGACTAAGATAAGATTAAAACTTAAACATTAATTGTAAGAATAATTTTTTACATTATGTATAATTTATTGTTACATTTTATATTAGTAGTCCTATGTGTAATGTTAAATAATTTGAATGTATATTTTAGATGTTCAGATGTTGTTTTAGTTGTGGGAGAAGAACGATTGCCCGCCCATCGTATTATACTAGCCTCACACAGCGAATATTTTATGTAGGTATTTAACTTTTATTATAAAATAACTACTTTTTATTTTTTGTAGCTGTAGTTTTTAAACATCAAGTCTGAAAGTTAGGCATAAATTAAATATTTGTTTACCTGTATATGAGGTATTTCACATAAACCAGTTCATCGGTCCTTCCGATGGAATTTTTATGACAATGAATTGGACTTCCTGGTTCGTTGTGACCTAAAGTGAGATCCCATTTTTTTAAAAGTACTTTAACTTTTTTTAAACGTTTTTGCCGTCTTAAATATTTCGGTACAAAACATAATATGTATAAGAACTTTTATAAAACTTAAAAAAAATACTCCTAATAAATATTTTCATCGTCCCAAAAATAGTATAATTATCAATCAGTACAATTATCACTGAAAAGGGTTCTATTTTTATCGTTTTACTTCATAGTAAAATGCTTGTATATATATTAATATATACTCGTATACAATTATTATATTGTAATGTCATTTCAAATTTATCTGGTTTACCAATTTTTAACGAGAACTTTTAGTAAGTTTTAGATATATGACCTCTTTTTAGAAGTCCGTTTAATTAGACTTTCACAAACTGTAATTTACAAAATGTTTAAAATATAGTATTATGTTATTTGTAATAATATTGTGTGTAATTTTTAGGAGGTTTTTTTCTGGGGATTATGAAGAAGCCCGTAAATCTGAAGTCAATCTTAGTGATGCATCTATAACCTCATATAAACTACTGTTTACATATATTTATACTGGTCAAATAAATTTAGGTGATCTAGAGGTAATGAATATTCAACGTAGCTTAATCGTATATAAACGGCATAAATATAATTTTTATTAGATTGTCTGATCGTTTGACAGAAAGATTAACCACTTTTTTTATTCTTTTTTTTAGGGCGAAGAAGTTTTTGAATTACTTAGGATTTCGGATTATTATGGTATTTTAAAATTAAAACTTCCACTACACGATTATTTAAAAAGTACTATTGACGTAGAAAATGCATGGTCGTTCTTTGCTATGACTCGAACTTATAAATACAATGACCTAGAAGTCGAATCACTTCACTTTATCGATAACCACGCCTCACAATTATTGCAATCTGAAGACTTTCTAACTTTGTCACCCGTAATGGCATGGTTTTAAATAAAACATTATATTGCTCGTGTTAGGAGAAAAATTAAAAAATAATTATTATTTTTAGGAAGTTCTTCAAGATATTATCATTCGTGACACATTTTATTGTAATGAATTAGATATATTCCACGCAGTTTGTCGCTGGATTAAAAAACACCAAAACATCCTTGATCATGATACTAAAATGAAAGTTTTATCTGCGATCAGATATCCGTTAATGAGTATTAAAGAACTGACTAAAGTTAGGCAATCACCGCTGGTTAAATCGAATACAAGTTTACATGACACAATATTCAGAAACACCTCGTCACCAGATAAGCTTCAATATCGAGGCCAGCTACGTATGCTTGCTGTACACATTAATTTGTGTTTCGCAAATTATGTTGATTTTAATTATATCTTTTTTCAGAACCCAATGTAAATCTTATTCATCGGCCTTGTCAATATGAACTTATTCGGGAGCCTTCGAATACTCCGGTTATCAATGGCATTAACGGTAGTTCTACGATAACCTTGCGTGTTCCATCATTTATAAACTATATTGAAATATCGTTATCGGATGGAGGTTCGATGGATGAATCAAGGTAAGTTTTCTACTTATAAATAACTCTTATTGAATGACCATTATTATGAACATATATTGTTTGAAAAATTGTTTGTAATATTCTTGACTATGATTCATGATTAACTGTATTTATTTATACAAATTTAATGTGTCGGGGTTTATTTTTATTATAAATTAAGCAAAAAAAATTATCAGTGGTTGAAAAATTATAGTCTATTCTTATTGTTAATTAAGAATTAATTGTTTATAACTTATATTTATTATTCAACAACTTTTTACACAACTCTGGTCCTAATATTTAATCTTCTATTCTTTTTTACGAATCACTTTACAAGTTAATCGAAATATTTAATATTTTAGGTATTACTCTTATTACATTGAAGTATCAATGGATCAGAACGTTTGGTTCCATGTTATAGATCATTCAAATTATAATTGTCGATCAATTCAAAAATTGTGGATTAAACCTCGCATAGTTCGGTACATACACATTGTTGGAACCAGAAGTACTGCTAAAGCAACTTTTGGATTTTCGAAAGTCAAGTACAATACAGAAGAAATGCACGAGGTGGAAATAAAAAATGGATTAGTCGGTAAGAAAACCAATAAAGTAACTCAGTTTTTAATTAAAAAAATTTAACATATATATTTATGTATTTGTCTAATTGATTCCTTAGTTCCTAAGTACGGGTATAATGTCGCTTCAAGTTATATGTATGCATTTGTAATCAAGGGAGAACATCATTTGATGAGTCAGTCGATGTTAAACATATTATATGATGATGACTATGATCGTTTTGGTGATAAGATTGATCGTTTTAACATGTATACATATCATTATTTGCAATCTGGTTGTATAGTGATTCATCTTGCACATCCATATATACTTAGTTCAATGAGGTAATTGTAAAAATATCTTGTATTTTTAGAGCAATACGTCTTCTTTTCAAATTTCTTTTTTTATCATTTTCAATCGTTCTAATACAATTTTAACTTATACACGGTCTATAAATAATTCCTTAAAGTCTTTTTTCTTATTTCCTTGTCAGGGCTTAAGTCTCCAAATTGTACAAAATACTATTTATCATTCCTAAACACTTTTAAGTAAAATATTTATCTTTTCGATAAGATCCTTTATCCAAATTTAGTTCTTTGGATGTTGTAACACTTAAACCCTCCATTTGTATAGAATTTTTCTAAATAGAATTATAAATATAAAAATGTTCTTTTTTTTTCTAATTGAAAATTTATGTACAGTTTACTTCATTTAATTCACAATGTAAAATGTTAATGGCTATCATTAACGAAAATAGGTTTAATTTGTTTGAATTTTTTATCATTCGGTTATTTACAAGAAAACAAAAGTTTATTTTGGCCTAATTATTTGTTATTCATGAATTTTTTCATTATTTTACTAAGACAGTATTATTATTGCCATAATTGACAGGTTTCTGCTTTGGGGCGGTAATGACCAATTCTACAAGTACACTGTTGAGGATTCTATCGATAATCAGGATTGGAAATGGATTGCACACGAATCTAAAGAGCTGAAACAATCATGGCAGGTGTTGAAATTTACACCCAGACCGATACTCTACATTCGTATTACTGGCGTTTATAACTCAGCAGGCAATGTGAGTGAAATAAGCTAAGAGTGTCTTTTAACTTTTAATAATTTTTTTATGTTGTAGGATTTCCGTTGTGTATATTTTGAAGCTCCCGCTCGAGTAATTGTAGACGATCGTGGGGTAAGAAATACTATATATGTTTTTTTTTTACAATCATCACGACGGAAATTGAGACAGGATTTTGATTTTCAGAAGAACAACGAAACAGATGTTATAATGACAGAAGCTTCGACTTCAAATCCAGTCGTTTAAACCAAATTCCAATTATAAGCATATTTGTGTTTATTGCACGCTTACCATAAATTAAAGATATTATAAAAAATACAATTTTTTTCGTTTATATATAATTACATGATACATATTTTTTATATAATACATTAATAACAGATTGATTAAATTATTACAGTACTGTGTTTGGTAATTCAATTGATACACGTAGGGTAGTATCCCGGGGCTTAATAAAAATAATTATAATATACCTAAGGCCATTATTTTGGTAATATCTGTTAAGTCAATATATATAAGCGCGTGGTTTTACTATTTTTGATTGGATATTATTATTATAATTTATAGTAACTAAAATATAAGTTGTCATTTTTGATAAATGTTATATATGCATGATATATATTATTTATGTACTATATTAATAACAGATTAATTAGATTATTACAGTACTGTAGTTGGTAATGCAACTATGTGCATTGGTTATGAAATTAACAAGTTTTCCCGGTAAAAATACACAATACTGGCTGCACAACATACACGAATAATACATTATCTAAATACTAAGGCTACGACGGATAAGAGTGGAAAAAGTAAAGAGTAATAATTTTCAAATGAACGGCACCGTCTCTTCTTCACACTTCACTCAATGTAATAATAATTAACACTTATCGTCAGTACCTACTTTTATAATCACTACTTTTATAAGCGTTACTTATGTGAAGTTTTTTAAATATTTTGTTGAACTATATCATTTTTAAATATATTTATCTGTTCACAAACATTTGTACTTGACATTTCAAATTTGTCTTTTGCTTTATTTATCTATTTTATCTATTAGTAAATGTATTAAGTTTTATTTTTGATTTCGACAAGAAATTTATAAGGAATATTTAACTGGTATACTGAAGTTAGTTATACATAATTAATTAATAATTTAAATTCAAGAGAGTTACTGAAAAATACACAATAGAACACAAGGTTAGCTAACACAAATTTTAAAAGTTTTATAGATTTTATTTTGTAAAAATCAAACTTGTACGACAGAACTTGTAGTCTATATAAATTATATACTCACTTTTTTAGAATTATTTTTTTTTTAATATTCCAACGCAAGACAATTATGAACCGGTATTAATTAATTAACCTAACCTAACCTAACCTCCCCACCATCCAAGTTTGTATCTGTTTTTTGGTAAGTTATCGAATTTTGTCGTATTTTGAAACGAATTCCATTTTTAAAAAGTTAATTCACTATATAATATGTTATCATTTAATTTTAAAGTGTTGATCACGCTAAAGAGAATACTAAAAATGAAGTTAGAGCTTGTATAGATCTTAAAATATATCGTTCCGTTATTTAACATATATCTGCATCAACAAGTCTTTAGAATTTTATAGGCATTTGTATAATTTTGGTCAGTTTATTTACCGGTTAATTTGAATAAGTTCCAAGGTATTATTTTTATTTAACTAATCGTTTCTTTGAGTAAAAACCATTTTAGTTTATTTTAGACCAAAAAACGTGTAATCCCCTCAATACAAAAAAAAATTAGTTAAAAATATAAAAGGTATACAGTGCAATTTATTCAGAAAAATCTAGCAAGGACAATACAAGAACTAACACAATAAACAGATTGCGAAAATTCTAAATTTTATTTTCTATCATACAACATAAACAAAAAATTATATTTTAAAAAATACAAATAATATAAAAGTAAAACATATAATACAATAGATATTTTATATCTGACAATTTTGGTAAGCGCAAATATAAAGTTAAAATGACACTCTTAGATTAATTTTACTCACATCACCTGCTGAATAGTAAACACCAGTAGTACGAATAAACACTATTGGCCTAGGTTTAAATTGTAACACATGCCAAGATCGTGTTGACCCGTTGGATTTGTCTACGATCATATCCCAAATCCGATTATTTACAGAATCTTCAATAGTATAACGGTAGACTTGGTCATCACCGCCCCAAAGCAGCATTCTGTAAATCAAGGTAATAGTCAATAAATTAAGGAAATTTATTACACAGCAATTTTTATTTTTCCACAAACAACAAAAACTAAATTGTTTAATATCGTAAATATCCTATGTATACATACGTTATGTGTCCAGAAAAATACAGCGTCCAGTTAAGGGCTAAATACTCATTATGTGTACTAATTCTAATATAGTTTATGGCTGATGGAATGATGAAAAAGATAGTCACATTGGGTTCTAAAAAATGAAATATTTGAAACCGACATAATATGCGAATTACAATGAACTAATGCAATATGTAAAACAGGCTTACTTAGTTTAAATTTAATCTTATCTGGTAGCCACGTGTTTCTAAATTGTGTGGCATCTAAGATTGTATCTGAACTACTAACCAGTTGTGATTCTCTAACCACAGATAGCACAGATAACAATCATTATTAACAATAAAAAAGACAGAAGATCTTCAAATTGCAATACGGCCAAAGCGTTGTTTTCGATTAAGTTTAGTGATTCGACTTCGAGCTTCTTATATTGATTAAGTCGTGCCCCAGCAAACAAGGAACAAGCATTGTGTACATTAATAACCATACCAATCAGAAATACTAAATAATTCCCAAATAACTTTAACCTAAAAAAAAAATAACATATTTGATTAATCATTTTTCTTATAAACATTATTATCCAGTTAAAGAACAACTGATCGACCAACTGATCGCACAGCCTTAAAGAAAAGTGTTTATGCAGTTTGAATAGCGCACAGCGATTATACGTTACCTTTAGAATCCTGAAGTTCATCTGACTGGTATAAATACACACAAGAAGTATTTTAAAGAAGGTTATTGATGCTTCTTTAATATTCACCTCAGGCTTATCGGATTCATTAATATTTCCATACAACAAGACACTAAAAATTATAAACAGTATTAATGAAACCGTCAAATTATCTATAAAGCCTAGTCCAATGGAGTCTATTTTTACAGACTACACAAATGAGTTGTTTTCGGTCAAAACTTACTATTATTTGGCTTGATAAGTTAGATACATAAGTTTGAATACCTACTTTACCTCAGTTTTTACAAAAACAAATTAACATTGTAAAAAAATGTCTTAAGAGGTCCTAACCATATAAAATGTTTCTATTAATAGCTTTTATATCTTGTTATAGTAATTTCTTTAAAATATCAATTTAAAACTACAATTTTTGTCGGTATAAATTAATTTTTTGTGTCTGTGACAAACAATAATAACTACTAATAACTAATAAGTTCCTATTTATTAATAGCAAATTACTAACAATTAACACGAAGGTGTAATAATAAGAGTTAAATACCTAAAATAATTACATTATTAATTGAGGCATTCCACGTCGAACCGGATTTTCGGCCACATTCCGTAGAATTTTCATTGGACTTTCTGGATCGTTGTGACCTAAAAAAATACTTCTAAATATTTCGTAACTAAATGGAATCTTGTTTTATATATTTGGACACCTCAAACAAATGGTTTCATCGTCTCAAAAATGGTACAATTATCAAGTAACCTAACCTTACCCCAGAAAAGGGTATAATTTTTATTGATTTAATTTATAATTAAATGCTTGTAGTTATATTATTATTGCAATTAAATTACAGAAATTATTAATTTTATACATTTACCTATTTTATTTGGTTTTCTTGTTATTATATTTTCAGGTTTATGCATTTTACCAATTCCAAACGAGAATTTTTGTAAAGTTTTAGATTTATAATCTCATTTTTGAAGCCAGTTTAATTAGACTGTGCTTTATAGAACATAATATAATATGTTGTTTGTCATAATATTGTATAGTATTTTTAGGGTCTTATTTTATGGAGGTCTTAAAGAATCCAATTTTTCGGAGGTCAATGTACGTAAGGCATCAATAACCTTATTTAAAATACTTCTTGAGTATATTTATTCCGGTCAAACGAATTTAAGTGTTCTAGAGGTAACGAATAATCGACGTAGCTTTGCGATTATTAAACGGCATACATAATATAATCGTTTGGCCGACAGTTTGTGTTTGATCTGTTAAATCAAAAACCGGTTAATGAGAAAAGATTATTAATATTTTTTGTTGTTTCACATTTCTTAAGTTACAGGGGTTTTGGATTTCTATGGTATTACTGTCCGAGTATTTAAAAAGTAACGTTAATGTACAAAATGCATTTTCGTTCCCAAGCTATATGACACGACATTATCAATACCAGGATCTCGAAGTAGAACCACTCAACTTTATCGAAAACCACTCTTTGGGCGTAATGCAATCTGAAGATTTTCTGTCTGTGTCAGGTAAAAAAATGAGAAAAATATTATTATTAAGGAAGCTCTTCAGGAAATTCTCAGTATTGACTCGTTTTGTGCTAACAAATTAGGTATATTGATGCTGATATTAATATAATAAAAGTTTTATCTACCGTCAGAGTATTAATGAACTGGTTCAGGTTCAAGACACTCACCATTGTTAAAAGATCAGACGGTTTACAATTTAAAAACACGTGGTTAATAGATGAGTTTAAAACTCGAAGCCAGTTAAGAATGCCTGCTTTATATTATACATATAATATTTATATTATATGTAATTCACAAAATGTATTGGTTTCAAATTTGGTTATAAGTTAATGAAACAAATGATCAATGTTTGAATAATTATTAACTATTCTTATTGTTTATTAAGTCTAAGTTGTTTATATCTTGTATTCATTTGACAGTATGCTGGACAACTCTGTTCCTTATATTTAATTTTCTATACTTTTTCTCAAATCACTACTCTTCAAGTTAATTGTATTTATTCGATATTTTAGGTATTACTCTGAAGTTTCAACGGATCAGTGCGATTGGATTCGTGTTATAGATCATTAAAATTATAATTGTCGATCAGCTCAACATTTGTGGATTCATCTACGTGTAGTCTAGTATATAAACATTGTTGGAACCAAAAGTACTGCTAAGATATATGAATGCATTTGTAAACAAACGAGAAAATGATTCAATGAGACAGTCGCTATTAAATAACATTTAAAATAAAGAAGACAATGATAGTTAAATATTTGTACATATCATCTTCTGCGATCAGGTTTTATGGTGGTTCATCTTGCACAACCATACATAATTAGTTCAATAAGGTAATAGTACAAATATCTTGTAAGTTGTAACTTTTATAGCAATGAGCATTATTTGGTGAATTATTTTTTAAAATTATTTTCGGTCGTTTGAATGAGTTTTAAAGAAATTATAATAATAGTGTTAATAGGATATTATTAAAAGCGATATAGGCTTCAATCATTATACTATTATTATATATTATATACATATCATATATTTTATATTTATATATTATTCATAATTTACAGGATGCTGCTTTGGGGTGGCGATGACCAAGCCTACAGTTACACTATTGAAGGTTCTTTCAGTAATCAGGATTGGGACATGATTATAGATAAATCTAAAGAGCTAACACAATCTTGGCATTTGCTGCAGTTTAAACCCAGGCCAATAGTGTACATTCGTATTAGTGGCGCTTACAATTCAGCAGGCGATATGAGTAAAATTAATCTAAGAGTGTGTTTTTAACTTTTAATAACTCTTTTATGTTGTATGATTTTCGTTATATATAGTTCGTGACTCCCCCGCTCAAGTAACATTCGATTCCAACGTCGTGGAAGACAATTTTGCGGTAAAAAATAATCTACTGAATTATTTTTTTTTTCTATAATTTTGACGAAAATTGAGAGAGAATTTATATTTTTTGGAGAACAATGAAACACATAATACGATGACAAAAACCAATTTCCAATTATAAGCATATTTGTGTTCGTTGTACGCTTACCAATAGTTAAAAAATATTACCATATATTTTTTTTTTTTTATAATTATTAATTATTTATAATTGTGTACAATACACATTAAACATATCTGTGTTAATAATATCTAAAAACTATAGGTTGAATAAACGCGAAGTTTTATTTTTAAATATGATAAGGTACTAAAAAGGAAAATAAATCAATTAGTAAAGAAATAAAATAATGAAATATTTAAAAAACCGCTTAATTTCCTAAAACATTTAGAATTTTGTTATTTCCTTTTGGAAACATTTAAAATAATATTATTTTACACTATACACAAAAAAATTCAATTTGTATCTAGAATTTTAACGACTTTTGAAACAAAGTATATTTTTTAAAAAGTAATTCATATCAAAATATCTGAAAGCTATAAATGGAATACTCATTTGCTTAATGCAAGACTTTTTTATCTATAGGATAGTTTTGATTGGTAAAGAAATAAAATATTTAAAAAATACTCATTTCCTTTAAACATTTATAATTTTTTTATATTTTATTGTTTTTCATTTCATTAGAAATGTAAAATTCTTTTAGATAAAAAGATATGTAGTTCTAATTGTTTAAGTATTAACTGCTTTACATGCGTGAACCTTGAAGTAATAAAATCGTACAAGGTAACGCTGTAACATCCTTCAATGTAATAACTGTAAACCCTAATATCAAACGAATCAAACAAACCATTGTGTAATTTTATCATTAATTATAAAATATATAAATTAACTATTATTAAACCGTTGCCCGAAAAATTATTCTAATTTAAAAAAATTTAATTTAACTTCAATGCGGAGTTGGGAGGCTATTGTTTTTTTATTAACAATATTTTCAATTTATTTTGAATAACTAAAACTAATAACAAACAAAAACCCACGAATAATATTATTATACAGAATAACGTGTCGAATACAATTTTATTGAATAATGTCTATTATAAATATTAGTAAATTCTTTTATGTTTGATGGATAACCTAACATTATAATTATATAACACCTCGAGAATGATAAAAAATATTCACACTGTGTTCTACATAGTTAAATAATTGATACACACAAAATTTGCGAAATACAAATTGATGTGTACAGTAAGCAAACTGATCTGGTAGCCACATGTTTCTAAGCTACCCAGTTGTGATTCCTTAACCACAGACAGCTCTTCAACAAACATTATAGAATAACTGACGACAATTTAAACTTTGATTTTAGCATTAGGATCTAGATCGTCTTGGCTCTGTTAAAACGAAATAAATCTGATATGCTAAATAATTCCAAAATAACTTGATTTTAAAAGTATAAAAATATGTAACTAATCGTTTTCCGGTTAATTTTTTTTCTATATTAATTCATAAAATACAATTAACGATCGACCAAACACCAGTACAATATTAAATAAAATATTGTTTATGCCATTTGAATTTGAATTTTTTTTTTTTTCATTAACCTTTTTTTCAATTTAACAAATTATTCACAAACTATCAGCTTAACGATTACACAACCTTATTCAAGTTAATTTGAATGCTGTTGAACATCGGCTAATGTACATCGATTATACATACTTATTTAGAACACTTAAATTCATCCGTCCAATTCAAGAAGTATTTTGAATCGGGCTACTGATGCTCCACTTATTTTCACTTCCAATTGATGGTAATTTAAGACCCTTATCCAATAAGGCGCTAAAAATTAAAGACAGTATATTAATAAAAATGATAAACTGTACATTTTTTGTGGTAACCACTAGAAATACCCAGGACGGTTCATAAGAATAGATAAGAAGACTTGGACATCACTATTACAAAAAATAATAACCGTTAAGCTAACTTTACCACTAAGGGATTATATCGACGGGAAAAAAGCACCGCTTCAAAGTGTAGTCCAACTTTTAGCTAAATGAGGATAAACCCGAGTATTTCCATACTGAATTTTCTAGGTTATAAAATTTTGAACGATACGTGGCTTTTTGTAACGGTTCCCAAACATGTTATTGTTGTAAATTTCAGTAAATATCACTTACCGATTTTATACAGTTGTTTTGTATTATAGGTTCACGGCCCTCTTCTCCGCACAGTGGTATAAAAATTTAGTAATTTAAGGTCACTCCTTATAACAAGTTTCAATTCATAAGTTAGTGTGTTAACAAATCGACTGAGTATTATAATACACTAGCTGCCCGGTCATCTTCTGGAAGATATTTTTAATAGTCTCTTTGATATTGTTAAACCGGTACTGATAATTATAATATAATACACATACTAGTAAAATATAATACAAGTATTATACAAGAAGACTAGATACTCCTACATACTAGTCTGCAGCGTACGATTCAAATTATAAAACAAATATTTTTGAAAACGAATTATGATCAACAAGACTGACGTCAGCTACAAAAGGTGTTCTAAGTTTAACAGTATACAACAACAACACGTGTAGGTATGCGCCTATACAAAAAATCGTACACCTTATGTAAACAAAATTATTCGCTTATAGTATATCCCGTTAGGTGTAGAAAAATATTGTACGCAAATAAAACTACAAAATATTTAAAATGGGGTTCAATATCTATTGACAAGGGTTTCTTCGTAGTGTTGAAAATGACATATTATCATATTAAGACGTATTATAACACTATGCTGATTTATATTTATTAACCTGTATCATTTTATGGCCAATATACACATTACAATTTATAAGCAGCTAAATCATATTTTTTTTTTGCTTGATAATTTGATCGCAGCAACCTCTAAGCGATAAGCTATATACAAAGCTGCAACCAACGATCCTAAGCTATTTAAACAGAAATTAAAATAAACTTAACTTTAAATTAGGCGTTAATTTTAAAATTTTTACTTTCTTTATGGTAAACAATTATATAGTATCAGCTATTAAAATCATATTATTTTTAATGAAACGCTGTGTGCTGGGAACAGTATTTACAATTATGAAACCATTCAGTTCATATACTATAATATTAATTGATTAATCAGATCACAAGTATATTACCTATTTAAAATATTAACTAATATTAAAATGAGTAAAATGGGTGCATCCAACAAATCCAACATATATATATATATATACTTGCCTAATTTATTAATTCAGTGGTTCATACGATGCATACTTAGTTCAACGAGGTAACAGTATAAATATCTTGTAACTTTTATAACAATAAGCCTTTTTTTGACAAGTTATCATTTCCGGTCGATGAAATGAGATATAAAACAATTTTTATTCATACATGGTTTATAAATAATTTCTTTTAGAAATGTTCACTGAAACTCTGCAAGTTTCCTTCACAAATGATATTTCTCCAAATCGTACAAAAATACGATTTATCAAAATCATGCTTTGAAAGTACCATATGGTTATTTCAACTATGTTTTTACTATCCCACGTATAGTAAGCTCAAATAATAAATATAATAAGTTTGTTTGTTTATTAAAACAGCAAACAAACAAAAATACTTAAATTATATTATCGTTACTATCTAAAAATCTACATTTAAAAAACAAAATAAAACACACCAAAGAAAAATGGTACCTACACGATTTAATCGAATAATTCTTTACGATGTATAGCAAAATATTTTGAACTATTATTTAACTTGTATTTTACTATATAACTACTCTACGAAACTGTTAATCAATTATCCAAGCACGAGTACAATTTACTTGAATAATTCGGTGCAAAGCAACCTTTCCCTGCGTTTCTGAATGTGTTCTTTAACGAGCGAGTCGTCGAGTATGTGACCCATCGATGACACGCTACCCAAATATTTTCTATACACCTCGTTCATGATGAATACTATTTCTTTCAGAGCTCTTTCACAATCGTCAATGTACACCTGTAGTATATTAAACATCTTAATTCGACAAGCTCTTTACCTGACAAGTATTACCTTTTATAATTTGCCCATCTAGAACAAGAACGCCACAGCTCAAAATGCATCAATTTTGAGTTATCACTACTTTTGTATATTAAAAAAAAATAGCTCTTGATAATGCAAAAACGTCGTGGATGTAAATTTTTGGGTTAAAGAGAGTTTTTTTTGGGGGTTTTCAAATAGCTTTTTCTCAAAACCATAAATTTTGAGTTGTGGCGGTCTTATTCTAGGGTGCGAGGAGGTACTTGCCATCGAGTGGAACAGGTCCGTGGTCTTTTTGTACAAATCGTGGCAAACATGGACGTTGTTCACACACTCGTTGATCAAAATCACAAACACGTCCTTCGAAATCGCCGAGTATTCGTCTAATACGCTGTCGGCGTTCTCTCGAGATGTTCCTTTGGATACGTTTCCGGATACGTCGTATACGATACTGTTCTCGTGATAACTCGAACCGCTGGTGGTCGACGGACACGCGAAAAACGGGCCGGATGTTTTGTCACAGCTGATCTTGACAAAACTGCTACAAAATAACATGTGAACACGACGCAATTTGAAGGAAAGACGTTGGATCATGAATAATATGTCTAATAATAATCAGCTGATTTCCCGTCACTTTCACTAGATCTTAGTGATAAAACGCATTAAATCGATCAAAACCATTAAATCTGGATAAAATTTAATTTCTTGACACTAATCCCTTATCAGCTGAACGCACCTGTCCTGTGAACGTCTTACCTTTTGTTCTCTAACGAAGAATTTTCATCCGAAGGTACATTTATAGTACTGTCAGATTGATCACTGGCAATTTTCGAGCTCAGCAGTTTCCTACAAGCATAATGAACACACAGTGGTTAAGGAGTACTATGGTACATTTTCTTGGGAACTCTTACAAGGTTTTCTCAGAAGACTTCTTGTCGTCGGAAGGCTCGACTACGCTGTCGGTCATTTTGTTGAGAACCATCGAGCCGTACAGTTCACTATAGGATTGTGATGGTGATGAATCCTCGTTCTATCCAATGTCGGTTAACAGAACCGGATTGTATTATATATATATATATATAATACAATGCAATACTATAATACCATCATCGTCACAGAAGTTAACTTTGGTTGTATTTCACTGGACGCGTTTGGTAATAAATTGCCCTCCTCTAATGCCAACATACTTTGGCGTATATTGTTTTCGTAGGCTTCCAGATTTTCTGGTAAAACCAGCACCAGCGTCGGATTCAGGCCTCTTATTTTGAGAATCAACCCACTTTCCAGGTTGGCGAATGTGATCAAAATTTTATTTTCTCTGGCGCATTTGGCCACTTGATCTTCGCCTAAAAAAAATCGATTGTGTAATGGTATCCAGAAACCATTGAATTATTTGAATTTAACACGGACAAGTTTTTGGGCTGGAAGTCTATGTGAATTAGCGTCATCGGAAAGTGAAAGTGAGGAAATGGGAGAATTTCACTTCACTTACTTTTACTTATTCCCCATAAAGTATAAGTTAGTAGAGGAGAAGAGAGGTAAAGGAATAGTGATGGGAGGGAATAGGAATGAAGGAGACGGGAAAAGGCTCCTTTGTCATCCGTGATTATATTTTTTCGTGAAACATGGACAATGTATTTTCTCTTGCCCCATGTGTAGTCTTTATGAAGTACCTAGACCGTACGAGTGTCCCAAATATTGGAAGGTGTACAAGAACCGGCCGCTGATGGCGATCCTGTTAAAAACCTCCGCCGTTATCGTCTTGTAAACCAAGTTGTCGTCCGACACCACTTTGGTGGTGTAAATTTGTGCTCGATAAAACCGCTCGTCGGCACCATTGGTCTTGAGTGCTCTGTCAAGAAGATATTTTTTCCGGGTGTTCGGTGGACCAACCAGTACGACCATAAACACTCCTCGGCTGTCGCAAATCGACTCACCCGTATGCATTCCTGATAGGCAATCAAAAACGGTCGTCCTAACGGCATTCTTCTTAGCAGCCAACACGGAAAGCGTTTCCGCCCTATTGAATTCCTATGTGTAGACAGCATCGAAAACCACAATAATATGTTAGTCCAAGTGTAGAGACTAGAATGGGGATTTACCCTTCACCATTTCTGTATAGGAATTCCCTAGGTACACTCAATAGACGCAGATTTTTTTAACTATATTCCGGACACTTTAAGAAGGCACCTCAATGTGCATACAGATAAGACCTGCGTGGCTGCGGAATAGTTTTGGTCGGACACCTGAGTGCTTTTTTAAAGTGTCCGAAGTAGGCATTACCAAATCCCATTTATTCAGCTAATGAAGAAATCTAACCTGACTCTCCGTATTGTAGAGACTAAGCCTCTTTATACAAGACCACCATTTGGGCTATGATTTTTACAGACAATGACGCATTGGGTAAAGCAAACATGTGTGATTCGGGCGTAAAACGATGCAATCGTTCATTTTAGTATTAGTTAATAGATGTTGATTCTCTTACCGTGCCTTCATTCGCGTTGACCATCATCTCTGCTTCGGCTCCCGACGAATGAGTGTTCTTGGACAGTATACGTTCATGAATGTTCATTTTTGCCATTCCGTTCATTTCTATATTTAAGATACGAAGGGTTTCTATTCCCGTCAAATACTCCAACTCGGCCACTTCGGCGATTCTATTGTTGTGCACATACAGTTCGGTCAATCGCTTTGCGTTCTAACAATATTACACCAAACACATTTTTATTTTGCCATCGATATCCAAATGATTGGAATTCCTTCTTTGGGAATCACTCTCATAAAAAATAGTAATAGTATCTGTCCCGTTTGGCTCTAAACTTAAATATATAATATATTGTTTGTATGTCACTCACTTTGAAATAGATTAACGATTTTAATTTGTTTTGCGATACGTCGAACACTTTACATGCGTTAGACGGGTCGTCGAACGATGGGATGTGTTTCAAAGAGTTGTTCGCTAATCTTATTTCGACCAGGCATAAGGGCAGGTCACCGTCAACTATCCGTTTAATACGATTATTAGACAAATCTAAAAACTTCAAGAACCTAAACCATAAACGGTCGAGTTAAGATGGAAAAAAAATAGTTTTCCGTTTGTTTAGAATTATTATCAGGTAGTTTAGTCTCCAAGAAAAAGCAAATGGTTAACCGAGCTGAAACAATAGCATTGATTTTCTTACAGACTAAAAGCTAACAGTTAATCAATAGTTGTCAATAGACTTGTTTACTGTAATTCGGAAATTCCCGCAACGGTTTCGATGGCGTTGTGCGACAGGTCCAAGTGAATCAATTGCCAAAATTCCTTTAGGTCGGTCATCTGTGTTACATTGTTGAAGGAGTAATCGGCGTACGACAAAGTCACGAGCGGTTTGAAGTCCAAAACCTTCGTCAAAAGATTATGAGAAACGTCCAAGTATTCCAGTTCTTCGAGACCGTTCAACGACGACAGATCATCGATGAAGTTCCTTGACAGAAATAACCTTTTCAAGAACATATACTCTTGTATAATGCTTACGTCTTCCAGACCCTAGAAGCACAACAAACATATCTTTTAAGGCAGACCCGGTCAAAAATTGTACAACAGAAATTTCAATTTAGAACTATTGAATGCAAAATGATTCCATGCAATTATCCCTCCCCCCCCCCATAATAATATTCTAAAGAATTTCTACGTTTTAAATTTACCTGATCGTCCAACACGAGATCAGAGAAATTGAAATCCAATGTTGGCCTGTACCTATATTCCAATTTTTTCAATCCTTTGACCAACGTGGTGCGAGTCAAAATGCCATATTTCACGGGTTCGGACGGTAGGGTTTCTATAGGTATCGCATACAAAGATTGATTGAAATCTCTCTCAGACGGAGAACCAATGTCACACATGGTCCGATAGTACAACTTTTTATTAAAGCCAAAGATTGTTAACGAATCGAGTCGCAAGAAATTGGACAACAGTGATTTCGAAGACTTACTTGACAACAGCCAAATTTGTTAAATACCCGTTATTGTATAGTGCCCTTGGCAACGACATAGGTTAGTTTATACACAAAATCATAAAAAGAGTTTAAAATGTATGAAAGGCTTACAAAGTTTGCCAGTTATTGATATGTGGATAAGATAAATCATTAAATTATGTCCAAGACAGAAACCCTAACGACATGCAATTTATTAAATTACTTTAATTTTTTTTGTTAAAGGTAAAATATGAACTATTTAGTAATGGAAAATATTTAACATCATTACCGCTAAATGGTTTAACATTTTAATATTTTATGTCTGATCTTGATTAATTATAGACTACCATCGTAGAGGTTAAACAATTTTGACGACAGATTTTTTCAGTTTTTATGTTAAATGTGAATCAGTCAACAGGAAAAAAAAATTGTAGCCGTATTAAAGCTAAAATGCCTGCTATAAAATATATTACATTTTATACAGTATATTACACAAGATTACATTTCATACAAGATTACAATTTCTAGTCTGAAATTATAATAGGATTCTCAGAGGGTTGTTTGTTTTTTAATTCGTTTTTTATCCGTAATAACGAGCACATTAAGTCTTTTTGCTTTGATATTTCTTTATGGATAACCTCCAACGCAGCCATGTCCTTTTCAATGTTTGATCGTTCTTCTTCGATTTTCTGAAAAGCGTTTTTGGACAACGGACTGTTTATCGGCTTCTTTTTCCAATCCAATTGTTCAAAATCAAACGTATATCGTTTACTCGGCTCCTCGGTAGTTTTGTTTTGCGTAACATTTTCATTGTCCTTCAATGTTGTTTCGGCCGATACACTGTCCTCAGCTACCTGAGGTAGAACAGTGTTTTCGGGTAAGAACGGCTTAAGTAACTGAATGTAAGACGACATAAGACGACTAAAACAAAAATTATAATTCATGTTAGAAAATTAACTATTTCTATACAATAATAAAATGTACAAAATACAATTTATGTAAAAATATGCATTCAATCCTAAATATTAGAAACGAGACGGGAGATTACTGTACAATTTTGACAGTACAATATAAATGTTTTAAAAATCTACGGCGCTTGTTGTCACATATATTGCACTAATTTAAGTTTATTACACATGATAATATTATACAAATTTTATTTTCATTTATAAATGTACATACCCTTGCCGTGTAATGGTTGTGATTGGAGTTAAATCAGTGTAATGTCGTATGACCGTCGATTAGGTATTAAATTAATTATCAATGTCGAAATAAAGTCCAACCAAATAATAATATCGTCACTTTTAAAGTTTTAAATAATTTTTTTTTTTCATTTGAAAATGTTTAGTCGTTAATAGAAAATATGATTTTTGGATGTTATCACTTGTTGTCGAACATGAAGAAACTGTTATCAAAAAAATGTTATCAGCATTTCATTATCATGAGATTAAAATTGAAATTATTGTAATTTCAAAATTTTGCCTTGTGTGTTCAAAAAAACATTTTGTCTTAAATTATAGTGTTTAACTCATTTTAAGTAAAATGTAAAATTGCATTTACAACAGTACAATCGGAAAGAGATAGATTTTCGTTTATTTTTCGTACAGATATGCAACGTGATAAGAATTATGATGAATACAAACTCGAAGTAACCATTTCAACAATAAATAATTAAACTACATTCAATAGCAGTGTAATTTCTAAATAATACAATCAATGCTAACATTGATGATGACAATTTAGATGGTTTTGCTTCGGGCAACGTCGACAGCGGCGAGAAGTCTACTCGATCGGTGGTGGAAATCGGATTCTTGGCGTCTCTTGATCAAATCAAAGTTCATAAAGAACTCAAGTCGGATGCGTATGAATGCACTTGCTGTCTAAAACTTGTAAAATATTAAATATAATGTAATCAAAGTTTTTTTCTTTTATTGTAGATGTATATTGAACAGTAGTAGTAGAATCAATTGTCACGTGATGAATTATGAACGCTATGAAAATGTAAGCAAAAAGGTCATCTCATAGGTATTTCTATTAATTTATCTTTTATAAGTCGATCAATAATCTTTTGACTGTGTTTTAAGTACTCTAAAATTGGCTGTCCTTACAGGTCGGTACGGAGTAATGTGGCATGTTGCGGTCTACAAGACAAATATATGCGAGTAAATAGAGCACGGGGAGTACCAAGTCAGAATGACAGGATATGATGCAGCGTGGCTCTACGAGAGTCTCTCCCATCTTAGATGATGCTTACCTTAATAAGTAAATAGGCTATTGTAAAAAAGTATACAAAACAAAAATTGTTACGACCTCTGTGCACACATTGGCCGTTCTCAATTATGTACAATCACTTTATTTTTTGACCTTCCTCTACTTTTCTTAATTACAATACATTCCTCTCACGTGTATTGGTTTAACTTTTAAAATATGAATAAGTAAATTAATTTAAATAAAACTGCTATTATAAAAGCAACAAAAATACTTAAAAAGTTAAAAGGATGCAGTATCAGTTACACAATATATTCTATAAAGGTCACGTTGATATTTTTATGTCTGCTGTTTTTTTATTTCACAATTTAATTGTTAGTATTTTTCCACAGTTGTAATAATTATAGTATCATAATTATTTCAAGTAAAATATTCATTATTAATTTAATATCGAGGGAAATGTTATAACTAAGAATAGATTGTGATGAAACTGGGCAAATCGTTTAATAAGTGAAAATTATTTTACTTTTAGTAGTTGTATTATGTATCTGTCTTAGTAGTAAATAAAAGTATGACTAACTCATTTTTGTTCTTTAAATTTTGGTTGTTTTGGGAAATTTTCCTTGGAAAAAAAATACTTACCGGGTCTCGTTCCAAATTCCAATGGGTACAAATCAACGATAATGTGTATGCATATTTTCCTTAAACCTTTTTTTTGTGTTTGGAAAATATATATATTTATATATTTTTTTTCAGAATTAGACTAATATATCTACACAACACCTGGTTATTTTACAAAACATTTTTTAAATGAAACAATCTAATTTCAAACGATTAAATATTCAAAAGCCATTCAAACAATTTACGACCAAGGATGGTTTGTGTTTTATATTAACTAAAAGTTACTATGATGTATTAAATATTATAGTTTAGTTGCATACTTTTAAAAATTATAACTTTTTTTTCTTTAAGGAAAAATATTTCAACACATTTACAAAATAAATTGCCATTAATTTAATTTGGTTATCAGTGTATACAGAAAACTATGTATTTTGTATGAGACATTATTTCTTTTTGATTCAAAGCACAAATTGGATTACATTATTTTGATTTGTGTCCTTAATTTTTTTATTAAGTTACTGCAAAATTGTTTTTGGGTTACAACCAAACACATTATTTTAGATAGTAATAATTAAATTTAATATTTGTTAAAAAATTTTATGTTATCTAATTTTTAAAAAATTTAAAACGTTTAGAAAACAAACCTTATCGTAAAATATCGAGAAATAATTAAGTTTTCTTTTTTACAGGCAAGTATTTTTTGTCTTCGGCTTATATTTTTTTATCAGACGTTAAACCATGTAAACTTTTCTAATATAATCCAAGTGTAATCACTGCTGACCTTTTTTTTCAATTAGTGTTTGACAAAAAATCAATCTTTATTTCTTTTAGAGTTCCATAAAATTGATTTTTTGTAGTCTAAGTATAATGTTTTGTACATTTCTCTTCTACCTATAAAATATTAAAGAAGACAGCAAGTTTAATGTTTTTTTACATGTCTTATATTGTTTTTTTTTTTGTTTTAATAGCTACGGCGTTATCACAAGATGATAAGACGTCAAACGGACAAGTACGATCTGCAAACTACTCAAAACACTACGATTCAGCTACAAACAAATTTCAAAGCCGCCTGTCTAACTTATTTAATTCCTGTTTTTATTTAACAAATTAAATTAATGACTTGCATTTTATACTCAGATCTTTTTTATCTTTGGTATTTTTAAAAACAGTTAGCCTTATTTATAACTTACTAAAAATACAAATTCCCTATTTTCTTAAGTTTGCCCTATCTAATAAAAATACATAATAATATTCAATAAAATATGATACTTACCTACGTTTCCAAAGCCTATTTAAAATTTTTTTAATTATACAGCCAATTCGTCTTAGAGACTGTCGTAGGACATCTCATGATGGCAGCGTTAGACCTTTAAGTCCGGTTAAACTTACATGGTGACTATTTAATTAGGTACTTGACACAGAATGTAAACCCAATACTGCTATATTTTATTGTGTTTCATAGTTAAAATAGGTACCTACCGAAATTAACTACTGTGTGTGATTGTGTTAGGTTAGGTTACATTGAAAATCTAGATTTACAAAACCAAGAGGCGTTAAGGTAGATGATAATTTTTCCAATCATTTCCAGCCAATATTTGTATTTTTTAATTTAAATACATATCTACAAATTGCATGTAAAACAAACATTAACACAATTATTGTATGGCTAGCAGGTTTTTTTTTTTGGACCTAAACTGTTATTATAGTTATATAAGCTCTTGCTACGACTCGCTGTAAATTTGTCACCGTTAAATAACTACACGGTTAGTATCGGTGTTAAAATATCATGATTTTCATCTCAAATAACCTAATATAGCCATTAAAACAAAAAAGAAAGTATAGTTGTGAAATGTGATGCTACAAAAATTTACTTTAAAATCATTTTTACTTGTACTATGTCAACTTGGAGTTCATAATATCTACATATAATATAAAGTAAAGTCCAATATTGTTAGTGCCAATTCTATATAATTCCATAGTAATCTCTGCAACTACTGACTCAATTTAGATGAGGTTTTTTCCATTTTGTAGATAACTTCTTGAGATTGGCCACACACAAGCGAGTGGGATAGTGATATAATATGGATATGGAGAGAGGATGGGGTTGAAATACAGCTTGTACTTTAAATAAAATCATAAGATGTTTAATTCAAGAATCTTGGAACAAGATATACATTAAATTGTATACTAACCGCTTTGTATCTCTTTGTACTAAAAACACTTCTAATAATTTATAAAGTAACGATATAATGAGAACAAATAGTTGACAGTTTGTTATAGACATATATTTTTTTTTTTTGATAACAAAATTAAACTACACATTACAAAATCAAATAACTGTTTCAAATTTTACCAGTATAACAATAGCAAAAAAAATATTTTTTACATAACATAAAAAAAAAAATTCTGTTTCAAGTATTTTCTCTTCAGCAAAGTTCAGTTGCGGTTCAAGCTTGCCTCTCGTCTTCTATATTGTATCCGTCTCTTGGCCCTCCAGACGTACTTAACAGATAATGAGGTATATGCCCCTATAGAACGTACACAAAAAAATAAAAGTTAGTATAATATTTGTATTTTAAACAATTATTATTAGGTATGTATACATCACACAGGCCCACGACCTAAGAAGACTTTTTCGAAATTGCGCGGTTTTGGGTGTAGTTTATTGATTAGACATCAGCAAGCTACAGTGAAGTTTTGTGACACAAAGAGGGGATGGGACAGTGATAAGGGGAAATCGATAATAATAAGAGATTATTGATAAGAGAACCGGCTAATAATGGATGATTCGTGAGAGACAGTAAGAAATCGGATCATAAGACAGGGAAAAATTGGACTTTTATTAACCAAAACTGAAACAAAGAAATCTAAGCACACGATTAGATACAATAATTAGAACAATATTCTTATTAATTAAAACTCAAATGTTGTTACCTGTTAATACCGCTTTAATAGCATATTGGGATTATTGTTGATATTTTTATTTTTGGCCCGTGTATAAAAGGTGGACGAACAATAGGTACAACGCCAGACATTTTTTATTTTCAAAATAATAGTCATTTTCTAAATGGGAGTGTACATAATTCAATAATGCAGTACCTTGCGGGTACAATTTCTCTGATGTATATGTTTTTTAGCATAATGTTGTGTTTTGAAAATCCCATTAATCATACTTTAACCCTACTGAGACTCCAACGATAATATTACAAAGGGTTAAAACATTATTTTTTTAAACTTTGGACGTGGTAGCACTGTTTATTGCAATGGTAACCGGTTCATACCACAAAGTATCGTACCAGTAACCACCCTGGTAACTCAAACATAATTATTATTTATTACCCATTAACGTTATCCCGCTAAAGAAATTACAATAGTTTTTTTTGTTGTTAAGTCATGTTAAAATCGTAGCAGCTTTGAAAAAACAATATATTTTAAGGTAAGTAAATGTTTATTATATTCTGTTGTACACCTATTAATTGACCTACGTGTAAAACAAATCACACGAGACTATTTTTGTAGGAAAAATACTACATATTATGTATTTCAAATACCTTCAACCTAGTCGATAATAATATAAATAAATTCAAAAAAAGTGTTGTTTATACAAAACTGTTTGTACAAGTTTAGACTACAATAATTAAAAAAAAAACGGTTTCCCATTAACGGTAGAAAGGAAAAGGTTAGGTTACTTACACTTTATTACATTACCTATCTAAATTTCGGTTTTTTCTTTATATAATTTATTATTCCTCAAATTAACTGAGGAATAAAATATAATTTATAATAATACATTTTAAGAATGCAAATTAAAAACGTTTTACATATGAATGATTTTCAATGAGTATAAGACAAATTTCGGCCATTACTGCTGTTCAAGTAGGAATGCATGATATTAACTGTTAAAATGTTGTTTTTTTTCTTCAAATCAAATATCTACTACATTAAGACTTTGTGGTTTCATTAAAAAAAAGAAAAAATACCAGGACAAGCCTATATTTTATGGTCATGACCCAAACAGTATAACTATAAGAAAAAAGCGTACCTTCTTTCAACTATATAATATATTATTATATTTTGTACACATATATAGACGACAATGAGGAAAAAAATGATTAACAGTAATAGTTATTCGATATATTATATTCTAATATAATAATTATTAATAACGGATTATAATTTTAAAGCGTGCTCGTACAATACTACTACAGTTTGACGGTGTGCATGTTTTTCTATGCACTTTTTTATATATATTTAAGTATACACGTTATAATCATCATGGTGAGACTCGAATAACAACTATTAAGTATAAAGTAACGATAATAAATTTATAATAATATAAATATAATAATGAACGTTTAAGGCTAAAAGTATATGCGACGCGACAAGAGCATATTTTAGGTACATAATAATATATTGAGCAGCACTTTTTTTATCATTTTTTTACCTTTGTTTGTTATGTTTTAATGTAAAAAGCTTATACAATTATTATTGTTCGTCTCGTGTTTTAGTTTACACGCGTTTTTTTTTAGATTTTTACACAGCTAAAAATCGACTGGGATAGGAAAAGAAAAAAAATAATCTACACAATAATATATTAATACTATTCGTAGTAATAATTATAATAATAATAATAATAGTATTACCTACGACGAGTGAAAAATAACATTACAATTTTACAATAATATTATAAGTCAAACGTATATTGTTGTTATTTATTCAATTAAAAATAATTTAAATAATATGTACACATATACGACGCTTATTGCCTAATTATGTAATAATAAATATAACCAACGAAAAAAAAAACAAAAACATAAATAGATAATTAATAATAATAATAATAATTATAATATTAATTTTAAAAAAAGTTGAAACACATTTTTTGTTTAGGGGTTTAAAAAAAAATTGTAATCTATATTATTTAATCGTAATTTTTATTTTAAATGTATATATACAACAAAAAAAAAAATAATAATATTAAGTTAAGTATAAAAAAAGAGAGGATAAATATTATTATTACGACTAAAAAAAAAAAAAATCAAAAACCTAAACTAAACTAATTTGTAACCTTTTTTTTTTTTTGATCAAAACGCGTGTCTAAATAGTTTGTTTAAATAATAAAAAAAAATTATTATTGTAAAAATAAATACTAATTACAACTGTAATCGAGTGACGTTATTCGTGTAAATTGTTATTTGTTTGTTAAAAAAAAAATTATCATTATATTTATATATATATAAATATATATATTTAATAATAGGGAACACAATTGTTATAACATTATTGTAATAATGTATATATGTATATTTTAATTGAAACATTTAATTTATGTGAAATTCGCACGTGTGTACAACTTATGTACTCATACAATATATGTAAGTACACACGTTAAACTTTAAAGTGTTCGTGAGTTTAATTGAGTGTGTGTGTGTATGTGAGTTAAGTATAGAAATATTAACGTTATTATAATATATTTAATACAAATAAAATAAATAAATAAATGCATATTCGGCGGCAGCGAGAAATTTATTATAATTACTTGAGAGAGAGAGAGAGAGAGAGTAGAGAGAAACATAATATTAATATATTATTATAGAGAGAGGCGAATAAATATTAAATCTACGTTAAACGTTTTATTTGTTTTGTTTTAAATAGTCCTTAACGATACTTAAAAATCTAACGAATTTCATAGTAATATATTAAAAATTATAATTTACATATTTTATTATACGGGAAAAAAAAATGTTTAAACATCAATATTACCTCGCCTATATTTCCATGTACAATGCACTACCAACTAGCCAACGATAACTATACACCCACCCCGTCCCACCTATCTTATTACCGGATTTTCTTCGATCAGGTCGAAATTAAACAGTTATGAACTAAAAAAAAAAAATTAAGGTCTTTTTTTTTATATAAGGCACATAATAGTATGCGTGAAATTTCGTTTGGCGAACCTGAATCGCTCGGGCGAGGTGGGCGCGATATAACATTACATTATATATAATTAATAATAATCATAATAATATAAATACATGTATATCCGTATATATTAATAAATATACATGTACACACACATAAAGGGTTTGTAAAAACCCTAAGCGTACATATAATATGTGTATACGTAATATAA